GAGGTTGGCCTGGAGAGTAGGGCTGGGAGGGTACCTGGAAATCCAGCAGCAAGTCCTCGGTGATGTTGCCTGTGTAGACGCACACCCGAACGGCTCCATTGAGCTCAGCCAGAAGTTTTTGAGAGGCCTCAGCCCTGCTCCTTCCCAAGTCCTGCTCTGAGAGCAGAAACTAAAGAGATGCCCAGACTGGCTTTAGCAAGGAGTTTTCTCTTGGGCCCCACCTCCACCCTGGTCTGGAAACCCAAAGCACCCCCCAGGAGCCTCACCTGGGCAGCCAGGTCAGACCAGCAAGTAGGGTGGGGATCATGGAGAGTGAGGCTGCCCACACCCATCAGGACCAAGTTTTTGGCCACCTCAGCCCCCAGGCCCTGCAGACCAGACAGCAGCACCTTGGCTCCCTGAATCCTCTGCATGGCCGGCAAGCCCAGCACGTACCTGTAGGTGGGAAGCAAGAGGGCAGGCAATTGGAGATCAGGGGTTAGAAAGCTACCCCGCTCTCCTCCCCACCTTGAGCCTCACAGCTGCCGCGAGTACAGCTCCTTATCCAGTGACTTGGAGGTCTCTAGGGTGTCCATCCTGAGGCCTGGGGCTGCAGGGTTTGTAGACAGGAAGCACTGCCAGCAGGAGCCAGTGCCCAGCAGCGCTAAGGCTCAGAAGTGAAAGATGCAGCTGGCAGCTTTCTTCCTGGTTCCTCTGTCATTTCGGGTAAAGCAAAAGTGAAAGTGAAACTGAGCGGGCTCATGGTCCTGCCTCCAGCCTGTCCTGCACAGCCCGGCTTGGCAAAGATTTCTGGCAGCCCTAAGGCACTGGCAAGTGGGGAAGAGAATTCCTGGATCTGTTTCTCTCTGGGAAAGCAGGTATTTCTCTTAAGGAAGAAAGAGGGCAGGGCCATGGGAGGGAATCCCTGTGGTCTCCTGTAGCTCCCTAGATGTCCCGAACAGCAAGCTCCTGTCCTCTTCAGGGGTCCCTGTCTGAATGGGCTTCCTGCCCAGAGGACTAGTGGGGACGCCCTTGTCCTGAGGGCTCACCTGGCCTCCTGTCCACACAGAGACTTAGAGACCCCAGAGGGCAGAGCCAGCCCCATCCCAGAGGCTGAAAGGCTGAGAGATGTGGGCTATGCTGCCCACCCCAGGGCTTAAACTACAGACTTGGGGTGCAGCCTAGCCTTGTTGGGAGTGCCTGCATGTCCTGGAGTCATCCCCTCTGGGATCAGGGAGTCCCCTCTGCCCACAGTGTCCAGCTGGGACAGTTGGCAGCCCCAGGAGGCCAGTCAGGATCTCTCACTGATGAGTCCCAGGACTCAAAGAGGGTTGTCAGTCTTTGCGTGCCAGCCCTGTGGAAGGCTAGGGGCAGCTATGATCATGTGTCCTTTATATTTTAAAATAATTATAGATTCAGAGGAAGTTGTGGAAAATAGAAAAGAGGGGGTACCCTCTCCACAGATGTCTTCTTCTGCCTTCTTAGGAACCCAGGGCCAGTTCTCTATAGAGGATGGACCACAGTTCCCCACAAAACTCCACAGTAGTTAAACCAAGTGCTATCAAAAATTCTTTTTAAAAAAACATTAAGGTAAAACCTATACATCATTAAAATAACCATTTTAAAGTATACAATTTAGTGGGATTTAGTGTATTGACAATGCTGTGCAATCACCATCTCTCTCTACTTTCAAAACCTTCACCCACCGAAAGACACAACTACCTTGGATAATCGCTACACACCCCCATTCCATCGCCTGGCAAACATACATGCTTTCTGTCACTAGGGATTTGCCTATTCTGGATATTTTATATAAAAGGAATCATACAAAATGTGACCTTTGGTATCTGTTGTCACTTACAATCTTTTTGAGGGTAATCCAAATTGTAGCATGTCTCAGGACACCATTCCTTTTTGTGGCTGAATAATATTCTATGAGAGGCACATATCACAATTTGTTATCCAGTGACCATATATATAGTCAATGGAATTCTCCAGGCTAGAATACTGGAGTGGGTAGCCATTTCCTTCTCCAGGGGATCTTCCCAACCCAGGGATCAATCCCAGGTCTCCAGCATTGCAGGCGGATTCTTTACCAGCTGAGCTACCAGGGAAGACATTATCCAGTCACTGGTTGACATTTGAACTGTTAACACTTTTTTAGTATTACGAATAGTGCTACGTGATCATTCTTGAACAAGTATTTGAGCACCTGTTTTCACCTTTGGGTATATACCTAGGAGTAGCATTGTTGGGTCATATAGCAATTCTGTTTAAGTTTTTGACAGACCAACAAACTATTTTCTACCAGCAATGTACGTTTTTATTTCTCCACAACATGGTCCAACCGGTTTTTCCTTTTTTTTCAAATTATACTCATCCTAGTGGGTGTAAAGTGGTAGGCAATTCTGCTTTTTTTTTTTTCATTCAATAAACATTTATTGGATGTGTCATATGTACTAGGTACAGAAACCAGGGCCAGATTCTCAAGTGGTGTCTTCAATAGACACCAAAAGGCATTTGATGACATTCAATATCCAATCCTGATTTTTTTTTTCACTCTCGTTAAAATAGAAATAGATGGATTTTAAAATTGTGGTTTTAACTATTTTCATTTTTAATCTGTTTAATTTTGTTTCTATTTTGGCCACACCACATGGCATGCAAGAACTTAGTTCCCTGAGCAGAGATCAGACCCGTGCCCTCTACAGTGGGAGCATGGAGTATTAACCACTGGACTGCCTGGGTTGAATCATTTTTAAATATGTACAATTCAGTGGCAGGAACTACATTCACAGTATTGTGTAACCACACCACTATTTCCACAACTTTAGCCCAAGAAGAAACACTGTACGCATTAAAAAAATTACTCATCAATCTTCCATCCCCTGTTTCCTAGGAGCTTCTATTGTACTTTGTCTCCATGATTTTGCCTACTGAAGATAATATAGGTGGAATCATAAAATATTTGCCCTTTTGTGTCTGGTTTCTTTCACTTAGCATACCTTTACAACATTCATCCAGCTTGTAGCATGTACCAGAATTTTGTTTCTTTTTTTTTATTGTGAGAAAATATACATAAGATGACATTTAATGTTTTAAAATATACAGTTCAGTAGCATTACAGACATTCATGTTGTTGTACCATCACCACCATTCATGTCCAGAATTTCACCTTCTCAAACTGAAACTTGCAACCCATTAGACAATAACTTCCCATTCCCTCCTTCCCCATCCTTGGCAATAATCATTCTACCTTCTGTCTCTGTGAATCTGACTGCTCTTGGTATCTCATATACATGGAATCCTGCACAATTTGTCCTTTGCCCCTGGATTATTTCACATAGCTTAGTGTCTTCAAGATTCACTTACATTGTAGCACGTTTCAGAATTTTTTTTAAAGGCTAAATAATGTTCTATTGTACGTACAGACCTAGAGCTTTGTAGTTTTCCCTCATAGAGATCTTGTACATATTTTGTTAGATTTATACCTAAATGTTTTGTTTCCTTTCTTTTTCTTTCTTGGTGCTAATGTAAATGGTACTGGGTTTTTAATGTTATTATTATTTTTTCTTCTTTTTATTTCTCGGTTTTTAATTCTAATTGATTATCAATCTATAAGAAAGCTAGTAACCAGCCATTGAACCCTTACTTTGATGCTGCACTTCCCCTCCCTAACCATCCTTTGCTCAGGCAGCACCAAAGGAGTCCAACTTCCATAACCAAGAGCATCACTTCCCCCCCAAGAAGCCCCAGGCTCCCACACACCTGCAGGGGAGCAGACGGGCACTCTGAGTCTGAAGCATTCTCTCTTGTGCCAGGTCCATGCTGGAATGTGCAGAAACAGGTGAACACCCACCGAGTAATGAGACCGAAGTTAGGGGTCCTCACCTAACATGCTCAGATACTCAAGTTGTATCCGATTCTTTACGACCCCATGGACTGTAGCCCACCAGACTCCTCTGTCCATGGGATTTTCCAGGCAAGGATACTGGAGTGGGTTACCAGTTCCTCCAGGGGATCTTCCTGACCCAGGGATTGAACCTGGGTCTCCTGCACTGCAAAGCGGATTCTTTACCAGCTGAGCCACTAGGGAAACCCAAGTCCTCACCCAAGTTAGGACGTAAAAGAGCAGTCTTCTGGGAGAAAGTGCTCTTGAAGCCAAGCCATAGAGGCTAGCAATTTGGCTGGTAGAGTTTAAAGGTGAAGAAGGGGTTGTCACAGGTCAATTGTTATTCTTGCTGTGAGTTCCCTGTGTGGCTAGACCCTGGTTCACCCATTTGGTCTCCTGCTTAAGGCCTTGCACTGTGCCCAGGTTACAGACTGTGGACAAAGCTAGGTGATGTTGCACTTGTTAGAGTCTCCCTGTGCCCTTTGAGAGGGCACATGCCTAAGGGTGGAATTTCTGGGTCTGGGTCTAGGTGAAGGTCCCCCCTTTAGAAAATCATACAAGTCAGTTTTTTGAAGTGAGTACAAATTTACCCTCCCAGAGCCAGGAAGAAAAGACCATATCTTTTTTATTTCACATAGAAATCTCCCCCCTCCTCTCCCTACCACCATTGCCCATCCCCAGCCGTACCTGGCCCAGGCCATGCCAACAGCAAGTCAGAGGCAGGCAGAAGCCTGGGCAGGCTGAGGAGGCCTGAGAAGCCTCAAGACTTTGGTGCTTACAGTCAACAAAAGACCCTGGTCGGAGGATCAGAAGTAGCCCAGCCACATCTGATCGTGGCTATAAATGGAAGTCTGGAACAAGGGGCAAGCCCTGCCGGCAGGAACACTGAGCTGATCACATCAGCCCCCACAGGGAGACTGAGTATGATTGGGGGTGGGGCAGGTTATGTGTAGGAAAAGCAGGTTTCTGGGCCCCACTTTCACCCCCATCTTCTTATTTATCCTTGTCCACAGGGCTGGTCCTAGAAGAGGGGCCATGCCTGCCAAACCTTCTGCCAAGCCAGTCACCAGTCCTCAGCCTATAAGTCAGAGGCATGTTATCTGGCCACTGATCAGACTCACTCTTCTCACTACCACAGGAAATTGTCCAGCGTGGCCTGGGAAGGTGTGGGCACTGCCTTGGCCCCCAGTTTCTGCCTAGCCCTGGCCTTGGGCTTTGGTTTAACCGGCAGTGGGCGGATCATAGTTGTGTCGGTCTGAAGAAAATGTCAAGGAAACGGCCTACAAAGAGGACTGGAATGCAGGGCTCAGCCTTGGGGGTGGGCAGCGCTGCTACACGGGGCAAGGTCTGGCTCTGCCCACCTGGGGCTGCAGCCACCAGTAAGCTGGGGCCTGGGGATACAGGTGAGGGATAATGTGGGCGCCATAGCTTAGCTCAGCCCAACACCACAAAATAAGGATACAGGCTGGATGAATTTTGTTCGGCCTCCAAGTCCATCAAAGCCTATCCTTACCTAAGGCAGAAGGAAGAGGTAAGTGGGCTGGCCTAATGGGCTAGGGCCACCCAGCCCCACCTGCAAGAAGGCAGACACTTTTTCCTTGTGGGAAACCGCACTCACTGCATCTGTGCTGCGGCAGGGCTCTGCCCTGACCCTCTTGGTCTGTTTGTGGCCCAGGACAGCATTCCGGATGAAGACAGGGAATGCGCCAGCCAGCTCCTCGTCAGGCTCCCCCAGACAGCACTGGCCCCCCAGCGAGAGCTGGGACTCCTGCAGAGGGGACCCCAGAGCCAGGCTCAATGAGCCAGGTGGCAGCAAAGAGGTTGGGAGGCATGTGGGAACAGGATCAGGATCTCTGGTGCCTCATCTGGAGGCAGGAAGGACAGGCAGTAGGGTTCCCAGGGTGGCTCCAGAGTGCTTTAGTCCTCTAGGAGTGAGAGGGCTCTGGCAAGACCCTGACCTCTTAGAAGACCAGCTTCATACTCAGTCCTGGCCAAGGATAGAGGGTGACTGCCTGAGCTTCTTCGGGGGCCTTACCTGCCTGGGGCCTTTGGGCATCTTCTTGGGAACATCCTGAACAGGAGAACTGCAAGAGAGAGCCGTAAGGATTAATGAGACAAGCAAGAGAAGGGCTTTGTATAGAGTGAGTACTCAGGAGAGGGAAGAAGAGGTGGCTGGAACCAGATTCATGTCTAAACCCAGGTGACCCTCAGTGCCCCATCAGCCACTCAGAGCTGTTAGCACAGGACCTGCAGAGATCTCTTAGCCATCCTCACTCCAGGCTGTGGAAGGGTCAGGGACCACCACTTACTGTGCCTTCTCAGGGAACAGCCTCTTGGCAAGGCCATGCTGGGTGCTGGAGGGCTGGCTTGGGGGAGTGTCCACATTAAAGGTGGCATTGAGGTCAATGTCATCGCCAAAGGCTGGCCGGCGAAGCTTCAGGCTCAGCATCTCCACAGGAGCTGGGCTATAAGGCAGAGACAGTTTGGTTACTCAGGATCACAGTGGCAACAGCCTCTCAAGCATTAGAGATGGATCAGCTCCAGGGGCCTGGAGCTCACACCTGGTTTACAGCTGTCCTGCAAGGAAACCCTAATTTCTCCAGAAAAAAGATCAGTCCTTGGCTTGGTCCTTTACACAGTGGAAGTATGGAAGACGTGCAAGGAAGCAAGCAGAAACCCACAGAAAATCCAAATATGCAAATGAAAAACCTTTTGTTCAAGAAGCCTCATTTCTCGGAGTACACACAAGGATCCTGTCAGAGAGGTGACCACAGACTGAAGCAGATGGATGTTCCTTCCAGTGCTACTTATCATGGCCAGTGGACAGTATTAGAGACTGTCCAAACAACTCCCCTAGGGGGCTGGCACTTTCAGAGCTTGAATATGAGACATACATTCAAGTAGTAGAGACTTCCCTGGTGGCCTGGTGGTTGGGAATCCGCCGTGCAATGCAGGGAATGAGGGTTCGATGCCTGGTCGGGGAAGAGCTCATGTGCCACAGCTGGGTGTGTACATCCTGGGGGGGACCAGAGTGTACACAAGCCTCCAGAGCACCTCTGTGGCCCCTGGCACCCAATGGCATCTGAATACGAAGCAGTACCTGTGCAGAAGACAGTAAGCTCATTTCTGCTGAGGAGACTAGGGAGCAGAGTGCAGAGGACAGTGGACCCTTCAGTGTGGAGAAGAGCAGGGGGACACGGAGCAGGAGGACATGGAACAAGAGGACACGGAGCAGCGGAACATGGAGCAGGAGGGCACAGAGCAGTAAGGCCAGGGGTGTCCTGCTGCAAGGGGCAGTGTGATTGGCCTGAAGCCTGAAGGTCCACCCGACCCACAAGGCCAGCTCCATGAGGGCTGAGTGCAGAGGGTCCTGGGAGGTGTTTGGCAAGGGAGTGGTAGGATGCCCAGGGGTTGCTATGCTGGACAGATGGGAGGAGTAGAGGATGGGTCCCAAGCCTCACATAGAGGTGGTAGCAAGAGAAAGGGTCAGGGAGGCAGCTCATAAGTTAGATGGGCAGGCTCTGAGCAAATGAGTGGATGCGTGGAAGAGGGAGCATAGTGGTTTTCCAACATTGAAAAGTGGCTCGAATAAAAGTGGCTGGGTCACGGGGTTGTATTTTCTGTTCGGACCACCAATGGGCCAGCCAGGCCTGAGGACCCTCTCAGCCTGTCGGCTTCCAGGCGGCCACACAGGCAGGGACACCCATCCCTCGGCCTCTTGGCTCCCTCTGGTGGCAGCTTTAGTGACGGTGCTGGGACCAGAGGAGTGTTCTTTTGGTGGGTGGTTTCATGTTTGTTTCAGAACCTGGGGCAGGCGGATATATTAGGTGAGCTGCTCCATACACAGGATGCTCCTCCCCTTTCTCTGACCATCCCTAGGTCCTTTCTGACCTCTCTCTGTCAGAGCCCAGGGCCTGCCTCAAAGCCACTTTCCAGCTCAGTCTTGGCTGTCACTCGGGGCAGGAGGTTCACAACCTTCACGCCGACCTGGGCCACCTACCCCCGACAAACCCAGAAAGGGTGAAGACACCCTTACCAGGGAGCTCACCAGCTTGGAGTCCCTGTTCCACCCCAGAGGGTCAACGAACCTCTCTAAAACGAGGCGGTTGATAGTTTCACTGTCTCCTGGTGGCAGCTTCAGGGTTTCCTGCAGTATCGTCAGCTTTTTTTTCAGGCTCTTCAGGAAGAAAAGAGAAGAGTGTGAAAGAAAGGCTGAGGGCACCAAGTCCAGAGTGACTGCCAAGGACGTGAGCAGTACGCATGAAAGGCAAGCCCACTGGGACCAGAACAAGGCCTGAAAGTCAAATATCAGGCTTAGGAGGCCAGGACCACCTGACCTCAGAACCCCTTCTGGCGGAGCCCCTCCTCTGGTGACCTCAAGGATGCAGGTACAGGACAGACTGTGAGCAAGACCCCTGTGCTCTCTGTCCTCTGCTGAGCAGCCCAGGCTCCAGACCAAAGGCCAAGACTCCTGTCCTGACCCACCCCGAACCAGGAGGATACAGAGAGCCCAGGGCTGCGACCACTGACTGAGGCAGGGTTCGTGGGCAGAACTCATCCAGCCCAGGTCTTGCAGGGCACATAAACCACCCCTCATCTCCACCTGCTCATAGATGTTCCTCACCGCAATTTCCTTGTCAGCACTCTCTAAGTCCTTCTGAGACGACCTCAGCTCCAACTTGGCCTGGTCCAGTTCAGAGGAGACTGTCTGCAACTGCAAGCAAGTGTAAGCAGTGAAGGACGAACACAGGGGTGGCTGTGTGCCCTGCCCCCACCTGCTGCTACACTAGCTCGTGGGAGCCCAGGCCCAGGAGGAGTGGGGGACACAGGGAAGATCCAAGCTCCATGGGGCTGGACCTTAGTCTTAGTCTGGCAGTGTTCATTTGGAGCAGTCCAGGTCTCCTCCCCACATCCATGCCCTGAGATGCACCATGCCCAGAAATAAAAGCATCTGTGTTGACTGATTCAGGTTTTTAAGAGGTCTACGGGGAGTCCTGGTGGTCTAGTGGTGAGAATTCTGATTTTCACTGCCAGTGGCCCAGGTTCAATCCCTTGTCAGGGAATCGAGGAACAAGGGGAATAAGCCAAATGGCAACATACACACACATGCACAATAAATAAATATAATAAACAAACCACAAAAAAAAAGAACAAGAGGTCTCCTACTCTAGGCCTGGAACAAAAAATAGGCCCCTGAAGCCATCACATTTGGGACCTGTGTGCTCCAGCCAGCTGAGAGGTACCCAGAGCGCAGAGGGGAACAGAAGTGTGCAGGTGTTGGAGCGACAGCTGTGTGACCTGCCACCCTAAGCAGACAAGCCACGCAAGCCAGAGTTAGTGCCTGGTGAGGACCAGAAGCCAGCCTCTGTGAGTCATCCCACAGCCCCAGTCTTGCCGAGGAGACACTCACGCGCATGACAAAAGGACAGCCACCTCTCCCCTCACACTTGGCTCCCCATTAAGTTACCTTGCTTCTGGAAGAAAGCAAGTCCTTCTTCAGTTTGTCAGCTAGCTCCCCTGAGGCCTTCCGTGCCTCTTTTAGATTCTCGTACTCTCTACGAAGGGACCATGGAAAGAGATGTCAGGCTGGGACACCACTTGGTCAGACTGAGTCACAGCCCCAAGCAGACACAAAGCCTGGCCCAAGCCCTCGGCCTTGCTCATTCCAACTCTGACACCGGAGCCCAGCAGGGACTGGCTGGCGCTGCAGGGGGTCAAGCACCCCAGATGCTAGAAGAGCTAGTCAATCTGTTTCCTGGAGATTAGAGAGCGTGTGCAGGAAACCCTGGCCCCACTGGGAGGCCCCCTACACCACCTGGCTACACACCAGGCATCGGGGATCCTTCATACCTGTCAGCCAAGTGGCCCCTTTTCTCCAACCCGACACCCATGGGAGTGAACACCTGAGCTAAGTTTCTAACGCAAGCCAGGCGGGATCAGTAACCGCGTGCTAATGCGGAACAAGCTCCAGCTATCAAACTGGAGCACGGCAAGCTATGTCAACCTCCTTAGAAATAACACTTATAATTCACATGCAATTCTCTCAATAATCCTGTGAGGCAGGTTATTATTATCTGTTCAGGAAGCTAAGGATCAGAGATGTTAAGAAACTGGCTCTTGGCCACACAGTAAGAGGTGGGATGTGGTTCAAACAAAGGCAGCAGGGCTCCAGAGCCTGCTCCTCACTCTGCCTGCTCTGCTTCACAAGAGACAGGCAACGCACAGAGGGGCATGGCTTGGGGCCATGACTCAGCTTGGATACAGGGGCCAGAGTACCCACTTCTTGAGGGACACGCAGTACACAGCCAACTGCTCCACCGCGGACTGTCCCACACCCATGTCTCGGATCATCTCCTCCACCTCGGGCCGCTGGCTCTGGAGTAGGAGCTCAATTCTGAAAAACACCCGGCCCACGGCATTTAAAATCTGGAGGCTGATGGGTAGGTACCCAGTGCAGCTCTGCCTCCCTTTGCTGCCGTTGCTATGGAGACAGCCTGAGCTGCTAGGATGCTTTAGCAGGCGGCTCTGCCCAAAGAAAGGCCCCAGTGCAGAGCTCAGCACAGCTGCAGGGACACTGCTGAGGGAGAAGGGGTGCTGAGGGAGGGTCTCAGGTCAGGGATCCCCAGGGAGAGGTTCTTGGAACAAAAGCCCTGCCAGGTTTCCCATGGAAAGTGAAGGAGCCCGCAGAGGCTGAGTAAGGCCTGAGCCCCCCGTGGCCTACGGAGAGCTGAGCCACCGAGCTTAGCCAGCCCCTGCTGCAGCCCTGAGAGCTGTGCCCCGGGGGTGCAAGGGCACAGGGTAGGCCCCCGCTCTAAGCTCACCGCTCCATGCTCTTCATCTTGCTCCGGAGTCGGCGGGCCTCCTCCCGAGCTTGCTTGGCCTCATCCTGCTGCTGCTCCAAGTACTTCATCTGCTTCTGAAGAGCAAATGCACTCCCACATGTCTGTTGCTTGGAGGCTCCCAGGGGCCAAGGCTAAAGTCGCTGGGAGAACTCCACCCTAGAACTGTCTGCTTTTGAAAATGCTGATAAGCATGTGCTTTAGCCCCAGGAGGTAAGGCTCCTGGGCCCCACTCTGGCATGTGCTTTTGCTGCTACGAGGCCCTGGACCAGCTGCTTCCTCACCCCCCAGCTTGCTTCCTCCTGAGATACGTCTTACCATCGGCATAGCTCACTCTCAGCATCCAAAGGCCTGCTGGGGGCTGCCAGGGTCCAGGGACTACTGTGTAGGAAGCTGAAGAAGCCTGGAGCACAGATCCAGGCCGTGCTATCCATCAGCTATGGACAGTTGCCAGGGTAGGACAGCTGCCCTCAGCACCTGGCCACTTCATCTCCAACCTGGGAACGCCAACACACTCCAGCTCTGCGGCCAGGTGCTAATTCACTCCTTCCTTCCCATTGGCCAGGCCATGTGATCCAATCCAGCCATCAAGCAGAGCCAGGAACGGTGAACACCCTGGGGCCCTATCTGTTCACCCGGATGGGTCCTTTTCCTTTTCAAATGGCATCTGGCAAGGACTGGCTCCTTCGTATGAGGTCAGAATATCAACTGTGGATTCAGATCAATCACCTCCTGCCCCTTGGAGAGCAAGAGGCTCACCAACCCAGGCTGATACAAAATTCATCTGGGTCTATCTAGAGCCGCTTGCTCTGTAGGCTTTGATCTGCCCGGTCAGCTCAGCACAGATGACTTCAAAGGCCCCCTGCTCCTCTCTGGGATGCTGTTTGATCTGGCTCCAGAGAGCAGCCCAGCCAAGGACAGGCACGCTAACAGAAGGTTCTTTAGGCTGGCTTTGTCAGTGGAGTACAAACCACTTTGGGAAACATGGCCTAGGCTCACTGCGATCTTGGTTGAGCAGTCCGTCCATGAAGCACTGGGCAGGCCTCACCTCTCCAAACTAACTAATACAACATCCACAGGTGCGGGCAATAAGACCTTTTTCTCATGGGCTGGGTGGGAGGCCTGGGGAAGATGGAATTTCCCTCCATTTTACCACTGTACAGACCATGGTATTGACCAAAGCAAACACAAAAGACAAGCTCAGAGTGGGGAGCCCAGGAGGAAGGCTGCATCTCACCACCGACCTGTGCCCAGGGGGGCTGGGGACCCACCTTGAGGGTGCAGCACAGCATCTCGGCCTTGTCCACGGCCCTCTGCAGGAACTCCACAGTGGCGTTGCGCTCGTCCAGTGTGTCCCGCAGAGAGTCGATGATGAGCTGGCTGTCTCGTTTTTCCTTCTCTGGAGCAGAGGCGGGGGGCAGAGGGAGGGGAGAAGCCTGTCCACTGTGCACTATGAGAACCTGGGCCCTTGGGCCCCAGCACCCCACCCCAGAGCCAGGTGAGGAACAAGTCGTGGGCCACAAAGTCAGGCAGCCTGCTTATCCTTCTGACAAGCACCAAACCAGGGACGCCCAGCCATTCTGGGAATAAGACCCTTTTTCTGTCGCTCAGAGTTACTGGAGTAAAGATTTCACTGCGCCCTGATCCTGTAGGTCTAGTTCATTCATCATCCCAGAACTCAAGCACTGAAAGAGTTAAAGTCGCTCAGTTGTGTCTGATTCTTTGCGACCCCATGGACTATACAGTCCATGGAATTCTCCAGGCCAGAATAGTGGAGTAGGTAGCCTTTCCTTTCTCCAGGGGATCTTCCCAACCCAAGGATCGAACCCAGGTCTTCCACATTGCAGGGAGATTCTTTACCAGCTGAGCCACAAGGGAAGCCCAAGAATACTAGAGTGGGTAGCCTATCCCTTCTCCAGGGGATCTTCCCAACCCAGGAATTGAACCGGGGTCTCCTGGATTGCAGGTGGATTCTTTACCAACTGAGCTATGAGGGAAACCCTCAAGCAGGTTCCTGCCAAATCTGGCAGCGGAACCCTCAACTACAATACTCTGACCTGCCAGGTAGACTCCTCCCAGCCTGGGTCCTAGGCAAGAAGCCCAAACAAAGAAGAGGCTCACCTCATCTGGGTGAACAGCATCAGTCACCTCCCTTTCCTTTCCTGCCATCACAAGAGCTGCTAAGACTCTTGGCTATACCAAGCAGGGACAGCCCCTGGATATGCCAGAAGGCTGAGGCCTTCCTTCCAGGCCTCAGTGCAGTACCCAAGTCAGGGGCTTCCCAAGGCCCCTGGGAACTCACCTTTCTGGGAAAGCAGGGCTCTGGTATTATCCAGTTCATTCTGCAAAGCAATACTCACAGTAAGCAGCAAGAAGGCATCACAGCTGGCCCTTACCCAGCCTCACAAAAGGTCTGTGGGGAGCCCCAGGCAGGGACAATGAGGCCTGTGGGCCCAGGGAAGCATGAACCCGCTGCTCCTCAAGGCCAAGCGAGATCAACAAGGGAGACAGAAGCCTTGCTGGGTCTCTGAGTGTCTTTTTAAAAAGTCGGTAAAATGAAGATAATCTCAGGTACAAGACCCTAGGACGGGAAAAGAGGCACAACAGGGGGCAAAAGAAGTGGAGCCTGGCCTGCGCGGTCAGTTTTATGGCAGAAGCTTCATCGCTTCCTCGGGCCTTTGCCCGCCCTGACCTTCCCTGGCATTAGCTGGACCCACTGGGGACCCAGATTTGGGATGGCCAAGCATCCCGGGCCACACTGCTCCCTCCACCCTGGGTCCTACCTGCTTCACGGTCTATCCCCTCCCGGCCCTAAGCTGGCTCTGTGCACCAGGACTCTTCCAGCCCCAGAATCCAACAGGGTAGGGGAGCCGAGACAATTCTTCACCCCTGGATGAAAGCTCACCTGAGCCAGGCTCGAACCAGACTGTTGTGAGGGTCAAACGAGCCTCCCCAAGCCCGTACACATGTTCCAAAGCCACTGCCACAGAACCACTGAGAGGCTGGAGCAGAAGAGAGCCCCACTCCCATGCAGGAGTCCCATGCACTCAACACCCTTATGGGCAAGAGATGTACCTACTCAATAAGCAGGAAAACCAGGCTCTGTAGCCCTGAAAGGCTTGGCCTAGGGTTCATGATGGTAGCTGGATGCAGAACAATCTTCATCCAGGTTAGGCTTCCCAGGTCAATGCAAGACTCATATTATGACCAATACAAAGCCGGGCCCTTGTTCATGGCTAAGCTCCTGTTGTCAAACTCTCTACTCAGGACTTTGGGGCAGGAGCTGTTGGTGGCTGAGCTGGTTAAACAGGCTGGACATCTCAGGTGGAAGCCGTGGACAGAGAAGGGCACACACGGGCTGCCTGAGAGCAGCTGCCAGCCCAACCTTACCGCTAGTCCCCAGCACCTTCCACACCCAAGCAGGGTGCCTTCCAAGCCCTTGCTCCAAACTACTCAAGATTTTGCCTTCCTGTCTCCCAGATATGGCTTAGAAAATTAGAAAGAACTAAAGCTGCTTTTGTTGCTTTTCTCACAAGAAGGACACGGCTTAAAACTGGGAGCAGTTACCATGACGATGAACACGTTAGCTTTAAGCACAAAAGCTCCACGTTCTTGAAGCAGTGAGGTTTCAAGGACGTCACAGCCCCCCCGGGGGCCAGGGCCAAATGAATCCTAATCTGACAGATGCCCAAAAAATTAACCCTCAGAGTGCAGGTTCACTTGCAAACCCCAATCCCACTTCCTTGAGAGGTTTCTGCCAATCCAATCCCTTTGTGCACGAAGCAAGCTAAATCTTAGGCTTGGAGGGGAAGCAGTAGAAGTGTGGGAGGGAATCCACCCATCCTCCCCTGCAGTGTGGGTTTCCATCCTGGCTGTGTATCTTGATTCCATGGGCCCTGCCCTCCACTCCTGCTCTGGGAAAGACTCAGGCACCTGGATACACACCAAGCTGCCCAGGCAGTTGTGAGGCACAGGTAGGTTTGCAAACAGTGGGTTCACACATCTTCCCTGGCTGAGGACAGGAAAAGATGGTTGTAGATCCTTTGCAAGGTGAGGGGACTTTGAGAGACACATTCTAAACTATGGCAAGAACTGCTCTGAAATTCCAAGGGGAGGGCTCACAGTCAAGTGGCTCCCTTCCTCCCTGACAGAGGATTTCTCCAATGACTGGAACATTATCAATTATTCTCTGCTCTCACTGTCCCAGCCTTGAAATCTCTATCAAGTCTCCCCTTCCAGAACCCATTTCCAGACTCTAGGTACCCTCCCTGGGTAGGAGCAGAAAGTGAACTCTCAGAGGGCCTGGGATTCAGCAGAATGAGATAAAGTCTGGGTACCTTTAAGAATTCTGCATCTAAGACATTCTCCTCCTCCTGGGCAAGGTCAAAGTAGAGCTTATTGATAATGGTTCTTTTGCCAACCTGAATGAAAGAACGAGACACAGTGTGACTGCATAGCTGGGTCATGGGCAAGGAGGACAGGGGACATGCAGCCAAGCCCATCTCCCACCTAATCTTTCACAGTACATCCCTTGGAGGGAGGTGACCTCTGCAATCCTGCAGGTGTCCCAACTGGGTACCACTAGTTACTGAGTCATGTCATTACAGATCCATGTGGTAACTGCTTAAAAATACCCCAACTCTAGGTGCTGGGCATTGCAGGGGAAAGGCAGATAAGGAGACCAAATCTAGCCAGGTGAAGACTGGCCCAGGCAACGAGTCCATCTGCCAGCTCCCCATGGGCAAAAGCAGGCCTCCCACACCGTTTAAGAGCACAAGTGAGGCTCAACCAGCTTCAAACCAGATGGTTCAGACAGGTCAAAGACATTGCTTTGCTTCAGAGACCTCTCCTCATCCTTGCTCCCTGGCAAGAAGTGTCTTTAGCTGAGCAGTTTTCACCCCACCAACTTTACCTGGATTCGGCACTGTGGGCAGGTCCGACTTGGTGCTGTCTCAAACCACTGAATTAGGCTGGAATGAGAACAAAAAAACAGACTGGTTTTAGGGGGAGACATACAGTCCAGGTAGCCATCCTGACCATTATAGCGTCTGTCCTGCTCCTCTCTGACCCATCGCCTACCCAACCAGGAGGGCAGCACCTCAGGTAGTGATGGTATATCCCACAAGGCCTGACTAGTACAAGCAATCCAACCAACTGACCCTTTTTTTTTGCCCTTGCTGGCTTGGACTTCTCTCCCCTGAGCTGTTATTTTATCAACTTTCTAGGCTTTGATTGGGGTTAGGGGCAATGGTCAAAGTCAGGGTCCCTCGGAGACAGGAATTATAATATTCCAAAGGGGAACTTTCAAAGTGAGGGTAAACTAGAGGTAGCAAGCAGAAGTAAAAGTAAAACACAGCCCAGCTATGCACCATCGATCTGCCCTAAACTTTAAAATATTCTCCTACTAGGGAATTATCTGGTGGTCCAGTGGTAAAGGACTCTGTGCTTTTACTGCCTGGTTGGGGAACTACTATCCCACAAGCCAGGTGGTGCGGTCAAAACAAAAATAAAATGTAGTAGACAATCCCCCCCAACTCCCACCAGGGACCAGGGAAAAACAATCCTTTCAAGAAGATGATACCATCTTTCCAGACTGCAATTTTTTTCTATAAATAATTTTTCAAATACATATAATACAAAGCTAACCATGCATGATGACGGAATACTACACAGCAATGAGAATGAATGTGTCTACAACTCAGAACAAATTATGGGTGAATTACATAAATGTAAGATTGAAGAAGAGAAGCCTGATACAAAAAAAAAAAAAAAAAAACAAACCCAAACCAAACCAGTAAATTGTGTTTAATTCCATTCCCATAAAATAAAAGGTAGGCAAAACTCATCTATTTTGCTGGAAGTCAAGACAGTGGCTATCATGAGTGGAGGAAAGGCAGGCTGGTGGGAGTAACTGGAAGACTGCATGGGGCCCTTGGACTCTTTAATCCACAGAGACTGGTAAGAGGCCAGAGGAGAAATTCAGGCAAGGCTTTCTTGGGACTGCACCAGGAGGGAGCAAAAACAAACAACAGGTGTCCTTGCTTGCTCTCTGGGGGGAGGCGGGGAGCGAGGAGCCGGCAGGTTCCTATATGGGGTGAGTGCAGAGGGGCGGATTGGCAGGTTGAGCCACAGGGGTAGCTCAGGTGGCGGTGTGCCCACCCCTTTGGTGGTCCTGTGTGGAGGGATCCTGTATGGTACCCTGCTTTTGCTCCAAGACCTCAGAAATGGCAGCTGGGTTTTGGCCTTTTTGTATCTTCTTGTTCATAGTTTGCCCAAGCTGAGCATGCATGTAGTTATTTTTAGTCCCTTATAGTTTCTTTGTATTCTGTTGTTTGAGGAGGCATTTGTCTAGGTGCAAATACAAGCATTCTGGAAGAGTATCCCGGGTCCCAGTCTTTCTCAGCAGGAGGTTTCTGGAGTGCTGATGTCTAGTTTCTTGCTCTGAATTCTGGTTGCATGAGTGTGTTCAGTTTGCAAAAATTCTGCAAGCTATACATTTCTTATATTTGTACTTTTATGTATTATACTATATTTCAATACAACGCTTTGTTTTAAAGTAAACAGTTACACAAGGGAAAGCACTGCGTATTGTAAACCAGAACATAACCACAGAGACTTCAAACACTGGAATTATCATCCACCATGACAGACACACTATGCCAGATAAACAAAAATTAAGATCGAAAATATCAAAAGAGAATTTGAAAATAAAAGGTGACATATCAAAAAAAAAAAAAGGTGACATATCAGAACTTAAGAAATAAACAGAAATTCCAAAATTGAACAAATGGCCCAAATTAAGAATTCAATGGATGAATTTAATAGCAGTTTAGGCAGAGTTGAAGAATCAGTACATTGAAAGATATGTCAGAGGAAACACTGAGAATTAGAAAGGTGGAAAAATACATAAGAAATGATAAGAGATATAAAAGTTACCGTGAGGTCTAGGATGCATATAATTAGAAGTTCCAGGGAGAAAGCATTAGGTAGAATAACACCCTCACCTCTATGTCCTAATTACCAAAACTTGTGAATACGCTACCTTATACAACAAGAGTAATTTGGAGATGGGATTAAGTTAAGGAGATGGGGAGATTATCCAGGGGTGTCTCATGTAATCACAAGCGTCTTTATAAAAGAGACAGGAGTGTCAAGAGTCATACAGAGGTTTGAAGATGTAACACTGCTGACTTTGAAGATGGCGAAAGAGGCCATGAGCCAAAGAAGGCACAGCCCCACTTCCATCTTCATTTTAACCAAGCAAGACCCATTTTGGACTTCTGACCTCCAAAATTATAAAATAACTTCTGTTGTCTTAAGCCACTAAGTTAGTGGTAATTTGTTACAGCAGAAATGAGATGCTAATATAGAAAGAAAAGAAATAATGGAATAGAGGCAATATATGAAGAAATAATGGCTGATAGTTTCCCAGAATTGAGTAAAGAAATTGTTCCACAAATAGAGACTTCCCTGGTAGCTCAGGCGGTAAAGCTTTCCACCTACAGAAATTGTTCCACAAGTTAAAGAAACCTCATGAATTTCAACCAGAATAAATAAAAATAGTAACAAAAAGTGAATTGAGGCAACTATATTATTGTCAGACAAAACAAACTCTAAGTCAAAAAAGCATACAAGAGATAATGACTTTATATATTGATAAAAGGCTCACCCTAACAAGAAATAACAATTATAAACATAAATACACCTAACAAAATATACATGAAATATATATACGAAAGAAAATTGTACAGAATTAAGGGAGAAATAGCAAGTTCTACAATAAAAGTTCGAGTTAATATTACACAATTTCAATAATGGATAGAACAATCAGACAGATGATCAATATGGAAACAGAAGGTCTGAACAACACTTTATACCAACTAAACTGACAGATGTATACTCCCCCCAACAATAGCAGAAAACACATTCTTCTCAAGTGCACATGGAACATTCTCTAGGATAGGCCATATGGTGGCCCACAAAACAAATCTTAAAATTTTTTAAAAGATTGAAAATCAGACAAAACAGATTTTCTGATCAAAATAGAATGAAACTAAAAATCAATAACCGAAGAAAAATGGAAAATTCACAAATGTGTGGAAATTAAACAACACACTCTTAGATAACAAATGGGTCAAAGAAGAAATTGCAAGGGAAATAAGAAAATATCATGAGATTAATGAAAATAAAAACATACCAAAACTGTGTAAGACAGCAAAAGCAGTGCCAAGAGGGAAACTGATAGCTTTAAACACACACAGTAAAAGCAAAGATACCCATTATGATGGCTATTATAAAAAAAAAAAAGTCTGGCAAGGATGTGGAGAAACTGGAACCCTTGTGAATTGTTAGTAGGAATGTAAAATGGTACAGCAGACACAGGAAAACAGAAGGGCAGCTTTTCAAAACATTAAACGTAGAATTACCATATGATCCAGTTAGTCTACCTCTTGGGATAACCCAAAATAAATGAAACCAGGAACTTGAAAATATACTTGTACACCAATGTTCATAGTAACATTATGCACAGTAGCCCAAATATGGAAACAACCCAATGTCTATTAACAGATGAAGGGACAAACAAAATGTGTTATTTTCGTACAACGAATAATAATCCCTTAGTCATAAAAAGGAGTAAAATTCTGAAACATGATACAACATGGATGAACCTTGAAAACACTGTGCTTAGTGAAATAAGCCAAACTTAAAAGAACCAAATGTTGTTATTTCACTTACACGAGGCCCCTGGAAAAGAAAAATTCAAGGAGACAGAAAGTAAAACAGAGGTTTCTATGGGCTGTGGGAAGGCGGGAATGGAAAATTATTGTTTAAAGTTTCAGTGCTTAGTTTGGACTGACGGAAACGTTCTGGAACTAGTGGTGATGGTTACACGTTGTGAATGTACTTAATGCCACTGAATTGTACTCTTAAAATGGTCAAAATGGAAGGCATCTTCGAGCTCACTGAGTAAACATTCTCCTGAAAAAATTTTAAAATTTTATGAAGTTTTCATTGAAATTAAATGGTGGCAGACATGTCCAAGAAATATTGCAGGAATTTGATCTCTTTATGAATCTTGTGAGAGATGAATGTGTGAAGCTGGGCAACAGAACAACGCTGAAATGGTGGTAATATGAGAAAATAGTATCATCATGTCAGAAGTTTTGGAGCAAGTATAAGCAAAGGCTGTGTTCATCAGAGATATCAATTGCTTCCATATGTCCTTTCCAAAGGGCCTGTTTTAGTATGATATAAAAATCAGGTCGTATACATTTTCAGAACTGAACTTTTTTGTTAAGTAAGCTTTTGCAAAATGTTAAATGTTAGATTATATATATATATGTGTATATATATATATATATATATATATATAATATTGCTCCAATAGAACAGTGTATAGTGGGGAAAAAAGGAAAAGGAAAAAACGGTTAATTTTATGTTACATGTATTTCATCACAGTTTAAAAAAAGAACTGGCGACTCAGCCTGTCCACAGCTACCAGGGGGATCTCCCCACCAGCTGTGCATTCAACAGAATGGTCCTACCAGTCAGCAGAACACCTTGATTCGAGAACACCTCCTTGCCATTGATGTTAATTTGGGTTTGCTTAGGCCAGTGAATACAGTGCAGTGTCTGACCAAGAAGATGACTCTGGACAGAATCATTCCAAACCATCAAGCAAACCACAACAAATCCAGTAGACTGTTGGCTACCAGGTCTGGCAGAAAACAAAGGGCTCACTAATGGGGTGAAAGCATCTGCACGTACAAATAATTTTGAAACCACATCTCTCTGCAAGCCAATCAAAGAAACCTCTACCCTGTCTCCATTAAATCAAGCCTTGTACCTTCCCCCCTACACCCGCACCTCCGGCCTCAGTTCAGCTGTCACCTCCTCGGGGAAGCCTGCCACACAACTCGCTTCTGCCCAGGTCAGGAACTCTCGTGGGACTCCGATCTAATGTCTTCCTCAGCACCAGTCTGGGCTCCGGGGGCGGGTCGCCCGGAGCCCCGACACCCCACAGTCCTGTAGCCCTACGGGAGCGAGGGCCCAGCTCCAACACAGCGCTCACTCACCACTGCGAGTGGAAGGTGTGGCCGCAATGGATGGCGGCCACGTCGCGGGAGTGATCAAAGAAGTCGGAGCAGATGGTGCACAGGGCACGAATAGGCATGATGACTGGTCTCGAGTCGCCGAGGTAGCCAAGGAAACGGCGACGGGTCCAGCTTGGCGGCCGTGCCTACGCGTCTTCACTAGCTTCGAATTTGGCTCCAAGGCGCAACTTCCGGGAGAGGATCGGAAGTGGCTGCACAGAGGGTTGGGTCCCGATTGGACGAACCCTCGCGGGGCGGGGCTTAACGGCCCGGAGGCCGTGAAGAATCCTGGGGCGGAGCGCGGGCCTGAAACTGTCAAGCGGTAATCATCAGGCTGCTGGCGGTTGAGACCGCAGGTACAGCGGCAGCGCAGCGCCGGATTGGTACGGGGACCAGCTAGGCTGCCGGCCGGGCCCCTTTTGGGGGCAACGCAGGGCGTTATGGTCCCAAGCCTGAGGTGACTAGAGGTGCGCTGGGCACGGGCTTCTGAGCCCTGTTCTCTCAGCGCAGCCTTCTCTGTACTCTCGGAGAGTAGAGTAGGGAATGGGACGACGGTCGCGATAGAGAGCGGGTCCCCTGGGCTCTGGGCGGTGCTTTGACCGTATAGTGGAAACCCATAGTTCCCAGACCGGAAGATTGCTGCACCCTCTCAGCCCTCCTTTCTGAGTGGTCCTAGAAAGATGGACACAAGTCCTAACCACTCAGGACATCTCAAGCTCACGCCAGATCTATACAAGCAAGACTTGACTCCTGAGTTTAGAAGTGATTAGAGGTGGCAGGGCCAGTAACCTAACTTCGGTCCTAGCTCTGGGGAGGATCAGTTTTGCCTCGGGACTGCAATCGAGTTGGATTTTTGGAGGCCCAGATGCATCTTAGACAAGTGACTAATAGACGTTTTTTCTTATTCCCACATCAGAGTTGTCTTTGGGATCCTCTCTGAGGAAGAGCGGCCTCCCTGGTGAGTTCACCTGGACTAATCTCGGCTGGAAGGAGTACTCCTAGGAGTTTTTGTGATTAACTGTTTTTAGTAGTATTACTCTCCTCTTCCCAGAAAAAAAACTTATACACAGCCCCACAATATAAAGCTTATCTGTTCCACCTGAAGTGGACCCAGAGTGAAGTCCTTGGGACCTAGGTGGAAAGCGACGGTGTTGTTTACAGGAAGGAGAAATCAACACAAAGGGCAGGACAGAATCACTGTGTAATGCCTATCCTGCACCCTCTCCACAACCCAGGGATACCCACTTTGGCCATGTACAAAAGGTCTCTCCCTATGGTGGATGGCCTTGGTGGGTTCCAGGTCTTATGCCTAAGTCAAGATAAAGACTCCTTGTTCAACAAGACTTGTCAGAACAGTAGCCCCACATGGTTTCTAGAGTCCAGAGGACCCCACCCCAACCATCAAGGACCATCCTGTGACATCCCAAGCAATCCACATGGCACTGAGCTCAGACCACTACCAGTGAAACTACCCCCAGCCTCTCCCCTCCCCACTGCCTTCCAGGGGCCCTCCCCAGTAATATAGAGGAAGCAAAGGCGAGAGGGTGGCCAGAGGCTTTGGCAGAGTGACATTTATTTGCCAGGTTCAGCAGGTACACAGCCCACCGACCTTCATACACCAGAGCAGACCCACAGGCATGCAGGGAGAAGGGCAGGACTACCCCCGAGTGCCAAGCGAGGGCTGGGACCAGTGTGGCTGCCTGCCCAGGCTCTAGTAGGGTCTGACAAAGGGCACCTGCCAGGAGCCTCCATTAGGAAACTGGGGAGCTTTATTTACTCCCTCATTCCAGCAAAAGCAACTCAGCGTGGCCCAGAGACACCTGGGCCTCTCTCTAAACCTTGATAGAAGGGGAAGTGGGTCATAGACATAGAGAGTGTTCCTGTCTATTTCACTGTTGAATTGAAAGAGCAGAAAATCTGGCCCTGTGAAGGGCAAACCCCCAAATCAGACTACAGGACACTGCCAGGCAGCAGGCCCCCTGCCTGGGATGGAGAGGACTGTGGACTGAGCCTAAGGGAGCCCATCTGGGAAGAGCCAGTGGCAGCTGTCCTTGTTCGACCCAGGGTAAGGACCCAGCTAGGCTGGTACGCTAGGTCCTGGGTCTGCACTCCGCCCTCCCAGATCTCATCGCCACCTCCTAATTGCTCCTCCTTCCCCTTGCAGGCTCCTGAAGCTCAGGGCACAGGGCAACCCACTGCAGGACCCAGGAGGGCAGGAAACAGCGCAAGGGTCTTAGGAGAGACATCCCAGGGACAGAGATGGGAGCTTCTACCCTCCAGCTCATTCTTTTTCACTTCTGAGGACCCCCATGGCTACCAAGCAGTGCCCCCAGCCATGTTACCAGTCTTGACTTAAAGCAAACTGCCCGAGATTACAGCATTCTCTATACCAGCCTGTTTCCACTCCTAGAGCAGCCCACACACCACAGGCACATACCTTCATGTGCAGGAGCCTAAGACCGCTGACAGGGCCTCGCTGGAGGACCAGCTCTCAGGGCAAGGCCACCCAATTTAGGGCCTGGGAGAGGATGGGACCTTCAGGGCCTGCCTGGGTGGGGGGGAACTGTGAGGCAGAGAGGGAAAGGGGGGCAGGGGAGCAGGGACCTCCTGAGTATCCCTAGAGCAGCATCCCACAAGAAACAGAAACTGATGAAGCTAGCAAAAGACAGAAAAAGCCACAAGGAATCCATGCAGGGGCTAGGGCTGGTCCCGCCTCTGGCCTGCCCACCACTCACGCACATACACACAGGAGATGAGACTGGTCTCCTGTGGCCCCCAGACATGCCCCATGCTGGGAGGCAGGGGCGGGGGGGGAGCGAGGGCATCATGCCAGTGACTCTATGTACAGTGAGAAGCCCCTCATCCACTCTCCCACCCTCCTGCCCATCCCCCGCCCCCCACAGCCTGCCCCCTCAGCTGCTCTCCACCCTCCGAGACTCCTGGGCACAGCCAGCAGCCTCTTCCCCTTTACTAGAGGGTGGAGCCTGGCCTGTTGCGCCCCCTGGGGCTGTGCTGTCCGGCTGGGCCAAAGCCGGCTCAGGGGTGGCAACAGCCTTGGCAGCCAGTGTGGCACTACTTTGGGTGGTGGGCATGGTGCTCTCTTCCACGGCTGGTGTGGCTCTCCCATCAGTGGCTGGAGTCACACTTCTGTCGGTGGCTGGGGTGACACTCCCATCGGTGGCTGGGGTGATGCTCCCATCAGTGGCTGGGGTGACGCTCCCATCCGTGGCTGGGGTGGTACTGCCATCTGTGGCTGGGGTGGCACTACGGTCAGCGGGGGCCACGTTCTCGCTCTTTGTAGCGTCACCCACGGTGGCTGGGGCAGCACTACCCCCAAGGACTGAGGCGGCTGCACTTGCAGCCGTGGCCCCGCCCGCAGCCCCAGGGGTGGCAGTGTCTGTGCCGGGAGCAGACTGGGCTGCAGCCGTGCCGGACTGCTCTGGGGCCCTGAGCCGTTTCATGAGGGTGGTCACTCGGACAGCTTTCTGAAAGAAGGACAGTGGAGAGAGGCTCAGAGTGAGGCTTATGGAAACTGGATCTGTTTATTCACAAAAGCCAATCCCAGACCATTCCATGAGGCTCTGGCTGCCTCTGACCAACCCAGGGCCAAGGGACCCAGCTGCTCAGCACACCTGCCTGAGGTCATCACAGTGACTACAGCTACACCTGATGGTTTAAGAAAAGCCTGTGTATGTCTGCAGGGCTGTGATGCAGGCAAGAAACTGTGATGCCAGAAGGAGCACTGGGGATCAAGCCAGGAAAGAGAGCCATCCAAGCCTTACCTTCCATTTAGCTCTGGCAAAGTTCTTTTCAATCTGGGCACAGACACCGTCCTTAATGTTCTTATCAGAAGCAGCATTGCCAGAAATCCTGGAAAGGGTACAAGTGTGTTTAGATCTGAGGGCATGTGGCCTTCATGGAGACTGTGCCCAACCCTTTCCTTATACAATCCTAGGCAGACCCTCTGAGCTGGCCTGAGCTCTGGGTACCCCCCTGAACCCCAACTCAAGGCCTCAAGGATGGAGGAAGACAGAGGACAAGGAACCCCTGGCCTCTCCTCCCATCCTTCCTGCCCGCCCCCCAGCTCCCTGCTCACCACTCATGGGAGATGGCCTCTTCCGCAGTGATCCGCTGGTCTTGCTCCACCTCCATCAGCCTTGTGACCAGGTCTTTGGCTGGGAGAAAGCCAGGGAGAGTCTAGGCATGGGCACCCCTCTCACAGTCTAGAGGTGATGAATGGGCTCGGGGATGGGATCAGAGTCCAGCAGAGAAGGTTGACAGCCGTCCCCTACACTAGCCCTTTACTCTGCCCTCATGCTGGATACCTCCTCACCTGCCTGCGAAATGTCATCCCAGTATGGAGAGTCAAACTCATAATCGCCAGCCAGGATCTTGCGGAAGAGATTCTTGTCGTGGTTCTCATAGTCATCTTCCTCTACCTCCTCATAGAAAGGTGGATTCCCTGAAAGCCTGCATGGGGGCCCATGTTCAGGGTCATTCAGGAAGGCCATGGATGCAGACCCTCATCCCACCTCACTGCCAGCCTGTTTGCCCACTTATCCACTTACAGGATGTACATGATGACTCCAATGGCCCAGCAGTCCACAGGGCGTCCATACCGCTGCCGGCCTACCACCTCTGGGGCTGCAAACAGGATCCATCTGCTGGTCAGTATCAGCCCTGGCCTGGCCTTGTACCACCCACACCCATTTGCTGGGGTGGGGACTTTCTCCTCCACTACCCAGAGCCAGTCCTTGAAGGCTGTGTCCCACCCTGCCCTGCCCTACTCCCTGCTTGCCCAGGTATTCGGGGGTCCCACAGGGCTCCTTGATGAGGCCGTTCTCTAGCTTAGCCAGGTGAAAGTCGCTGATGACGATCTTTGAGTTCTTCAGTCGGTTGTAGTAAACCAGGTTCTCCAGCTGCTCCAGCCGGGAATAGCATGCGGGTGGGCAAATGAAGACACCATGAAACCCTCAGAGGCTGGACCACAACCCCAAAGTGCTGCATACCCCAGCCCCAGGCCAGCTGCCAACTGGCCCTTTGACCTGGTTGCCGGCCTCACCTTGAGGTTCCTGTGCAC